ATCGTACTTATGCGGAGATTATCATTAGACATGGAGAAAGTCCAAAGATAAGCCCTGTTCTCCTAGTCCAAAGACCTTATATCCCTGCTTGATTGGTTTCTGAGGCATCTTAACTGTGTATTTGAACCGTCCAAAGAACCGAATCATCATCTCATCAATGGAGAGATTTGAACCTGGGTTGTAGTATTTCCAGCATGCTGCATGGAAGTTGAAGTATAAAGGCTCTAGCTTCTGTATAAAGGAGGAGGATTCCGGCCTGCGAGGGTTAGATATATGAATATATCTCTTGATCTGCTCGAATTGCTTTTGTCCCATATGAAGTCTTGATGAATGAACTGGCCCCTGAACATCATTTCTGTTCCAATAATCTCCAATTGCCGGAGATTTATGTACTCCCATATAGATAATCTGCCCAAGAAATACCTTGATTTCTGTAGAAGTAGTTGGCTGCCATTCCCGTGGATTGATGGCTGAATTCCTTGATATCTGTATCTCCGCGTAGGCATTGGTGGAACAGGCAATATTCTGAATATCAGACTCTGAGATATAGAGAGAGAATAGGGTGTATGAATTCCGCGGATCAATATTGGGCAGATTGGCAGTTGGAGAGCGATGAGGAGATTCCATGAATTTGAATCTAATACTCTTCAGAGGTGGAATGTCTGCTAGAAGTGCACTGACAGATCGCTTTCACTTTACACCTGTTTTTGTACTGTCTAATAAATAAATCAGTCAATCTGATTAAAAGAAGCATTGAAGAATTGGAAATCACCTGTAGAGGTCATATTTCTATCCCAGGGTGGGCAGGGTGGGCAGGGTGGCCAGGGGGTGATCGCATCCACGGTGGATATGAATATGGATCAAGATGAGAAGATTCCAAGGTTGTAGAACGCGTAGAGCAGAAAACGCGAGATAGTGGAGTGGTATCAACAAATCAGATTACATAGAATTTAGTATGAGAAATTATTGGTTGGTACTTCAGAGCTAACAGCTTAGTTGTTACACTAATAGTAATACGCTAATTGTGTCCTCGCGGCCAGACGAGGGGATAGTTGATTTTAGCTATATTTGATTTATAAATTTTAATTTATAATAGTACTATTATCTTTTAATTTAGACTATTTAGTGAATAAGCTCAGAGTATTATATAAAAATCTAATTTATCTTATATTTGATAAAAATCTTATTGATATTAAAGGTTTAATAACAATATCATATTATTTTACTATAGATATAGTTATTTAAATATAAATGTATAAAATTAAAATATAAAGTTTAAATACTAAAATCTAAATATGGGGTTATAAATAAGCTTTTTTTAGTTAATGAAAGTATTATTTATATAAAGGTTAAAAAGGATATAAAACGGTTGGTTTTATATCAGCCTTGTTTAATATTTATACTTATAAGTTATTATCACATTTTTTTAACGGCTCATTATTATAGAAAAGTGTTAGATAAAATATTTTTCTAGCTATTTTAAATATTTAGTAATTTTTATTCTTACTATTAACGGTGATTGATTCGTTTCTTTTATTATCAATATAACACTGATAATAATCCAGCTTTTTTTCTTGTACTTTATAATGATATAATATATTGAAAATAACTGTAATCTATAAGCTTTAATTTTATAAATTTCTTTTTGAAAACCGAGTTTATAAAAATTTTTAAAATTAAACTTTAATATTGATTAAAATATTATAATAACTTTACATTTAAACCCGGTCAAGAGGAGAATTTTATGAAAGTATTAAATATAAAAGATTCTTCCTTCTATAGATTATGAATCTATAAAATTTATAGAAGTATATATACTACAATAAATAAAAACTAATTATCTTTATTTTTTTATAAATTATCTTTATTTTGAATATTTCAATATGTATTTTTATACATTAGTTATTATCGACTTAATTATTTGTTTGTATGTAGCAGCTCAAGGAACATTAGTAAGTGTATTTCAATTTTCTATTTAAATTTTATTTAAAAATTTTCCTAGCTAATCATATTATTTTTCAATAATTTATAGCAACCACAAATATTAGCTGATGAGAAATTTATATCACTTGGAAATAATATCAAAACTGATATTGATGGATATTTACATTTGAATGATAAAGGAATTTTACGATCCTTTGATAGCAATAATAAAGTGATTGATTATAAATTATTATCTGCTGAGGATTTTACACTTATAAGCAGAAAATATTCACCAGAATCTGAAAAAGATCGAGCAGCATTCTGGGAAAACAATCTTTCTTCAATTGAAAAAGATGAGATTTGGAATCCTTCTGAGCATACTATGGCATCTATTTTATCTGGAAGGTCAATGAGTGACTCCGAGTCATCAAACATAAAATCGGAGAAACCTAATTTGTTAGCACGTAAAATAATGTGTGCTACACTTAATTGCCGTTTAAATAGTGATTGTCTACGACAAGATCCACGGTGTCATAATTGTGTCGGTCAAACAGGACCAACTTGGCGTGGGCATTGTGCATTGTAAATAAATTATAAAGAGTTAAGTATTTGATTTAATTTTAAATGATGATATATTTTAACAGTAATTTAAAATTCAAATAAGATTTTTAACTTTATATTATTTACAATTTTAATTTTATTTAACGTAACGTAATCAACCACTCAACCCGTCTACACTCAACGCCCACCCAATCCTCATTTTTTCATCCATCTTCAAACACCCACAAGATGCACCACGAGGCAGTTATATTGTCCGCGATTGATGATTTGAATGCCCAATTGGTTCCTAATTACACTGTGACCGCTGAGAAATATGGAATCAGTCGTTATACACTCTCACGGCGCTATAGAGGTGTTCAAACGTCAAGAAAGGAAGCAACCTCTATCCACCGCAAAATCCTCACAGATTCGCAAGAAAATCGACTCCTTTTTCATATCAATCGATTGGCAGATCGCGGTTTCCCTTGTACGCCCCAAATCCTTCATAATCTTGTTGTTGAGATATTAAAAGAACCTATTGGAGCCAACTGGGTGGCAAGGTTCTGTCAACGCCACAAGGATGTAATCAAGTCAGTTTACCTGCGAAATATCGACCAAAAACGCAAGATTGCGGACAATTCTACATACTTTAAGCATTATTTTGATCTTGTATATATTGCTTTTCTCTACTGCTTTTCTTACTTTTATCTTGCTAATTTATTGTTGATTTGCAGCTACAGGAAAAGATCACTAAATACAATATTGAACCTGGGAATATCTACAACTTCGATGAAAAAGGATTCCTATTGGGCTTCATCCACACCCTCAAGCGTATTGTATCAATTAATGCGCTCAAATCCGGCCGTACAATAGGTGCCAGCCAGGATGGCAGCCGCGAATTCATTCCACTACTTGCCTCAATTTGCGCCGATGGAACCTCACTCCCACCTGCTCTCATATATCAAGGGGAATCAAGGGATATGCAAGATACTTGGCTGGAAGATTTTGATAGCAAAAAGGATCAGGTCTACTTTGCTGCTTCAGAGAATGGATGGAGCAATGATGAATATGGGTTAATGTGGTTAAAGAAGATCTTTGAACCTCATACAAAAAAGAAAGCAGGGCGTGGATACAGGCTTCTTATATTAGATGGCCACTCATCCCATGTTAATATGGCATTCATCAATTACGCGGCTCAGCATAAAATTTTACTTGCTGTCTTTCCTCCCCACTCTACACACCGATTACAACCGCTAGATGTTGGGATATTTGGACCATTGAGCAAATCATATTCTAAGCATTTGAATGAGCGAATGAGAACCGGTATGGGATTTGTACGCACTACAAAGAGGTCTTTTTGGCAGCTATTTGATGCTGCTTGGAAGGAATCAGTTACATCCTCTAATATTATATCCGCGTTCGCTGCGGTTTGGCCTACATTCATTTGATTCCAGAACAGGTTCTTTAAAAGCTTGCATTACGCCCTTGCACTCCCCCAGACGCGCAATATCGACCTAGAAATCAGGAAAAGAACACGTCGCAAGCGTGGCAGTGCAATGGGGTTACTA